GTCCCTTTTAGGTCTAGGATCCCACTCAGTGTCGAGCATTGCCTATCCAGATGTGCTACTTATCTATCCATCCCAAAAATTATGCACTGTACAGCTGACCATAAACCATACAGGAGTATGTTATCTGCTGTCTAGTGACTCGGTCACTCCACCTCTGTGTGGTGGGTCCCAGAGGTTGATATTGTATGGTCTAGGCTCTGCTCATCCTGTGGACTGAGGTTGCTCATGACATCAGCTGGTGATATATGTGCTCCAGCCTCTGTGTGGTCCTATTTGGAGGATGATGATGTGCGGTTACACCCTGCGACTGCTAGTGATTCCTCGTGATGGAGTTGGGCCCAAGAGGATAATTTTGCACAGGGTAGTGTAGCAAGGCTTGTAGATGGGGATTACTGCACATTCTTGCTGTCCTTTTGATTGAATATATCAGGGGAGGTCTCTTTTTCAAAATAGTGTTTTCTGGCCACCCATTGCACTGTCTCCGGTGTCAACATTTCTCTGGACTCTCCACCACATTTCTACCCCAATGTTCTTCTAGTGGAATAGGAGAGTCCTTGTCATGTTCCGCTAAGTGAAGGACCATGGAGGCAACCTCTTGAATGTACTCAATTCCAACAGTAGAGAGTAGGGTGGTGGTGGTGTTCTGTCAGTGTAGATGGTGTAGATCCTACACATCCATGCAGTGGAGCCCAGCGTTCGATGTTCACTTCCGTGTACTGTAGCTTCTGTGCAATCCTATCTGGGAGATGATGTTGTGCATGAATCACAATTGTATATTACATTGCAGTTCACCCCTCTGATTGTGATCCCTCATTCTACCATTGACTGGATGTCAGTTTCCAGTGCATGGTTCTGGATTCAAGCAGGAACAGTCAACTTAAGTTCTAACCCATGTGTTGGTCGTGATTCTTCATCCTACCTTGATCACGGGTTTTGTCTTATGAGCTCCACTTCTGTACATTGGGTCCCGGAGGTTGATGTTGCATGGATCCGGTTCGATCTGCCCCAGCTCTGTAGTTGCTCAGGGTGCTGGCCATGCACCCATGCCTTCAGCTTTCATGCAGTCCTATCTGAAGGATGATGTTGCATGGGGAAAATGGCGCTTCACCTCTGTGAGGTTCATTACCAGAGGCAAATGTTGCATAGAGGGGAACCAGTCCAATTGGTTTTGGATTTTAAGTGCACCATCACACTGGCACATCCCTTCCTATTACTGTTCGGATATTGGATTACCAGGTGGCTGGTGTTAGCTGTGGATTTGCACACATGTGCCCTGTTTAGTCAAGTGGTATGGAGTTTTTCTCCTTCCATTCTGCTCAACTTGAGGTGAAGCCAGTGTGGACCTCCTCCTACCATGGGTCAGAATATGTATGCCTGATTCTGCATGGTTTGTAACTGGAGCTGAACTACTGACTATGTTCTGATGTGCCCTCTTGGCTAGAGGGAAGGCAACTGTCTGCTAGCATGAATGTCAAGAATTCCTGTCTTTTTTTTACACCACCAGTGTGTTTTAGTACTTACAGATACTTTAACTGTGGTGAAGTATATCAACAGACAGGGTAAGACTCAATCTCACAACCTTTGTTTATTGCAGTTTTCTCTACATTAATTGCTAAATTCACAATTTTGAGCTGGTATTTCTTTTAATGTGCTAATGGTTCTTCCTGCTTATGCTTGATGAATTCTTGAAAGCAGTGCATCATCTTTGGATGCTTTACTGGTTTTCGGTTCAGAGTCCAGCCTCAAGTGGAGGATATTTTGAGCATGTTTTTCTTTATGCCTACACTCTTGTTCATCATCTTTGTCAGGTATTGGCCAAGATCAGTAGGTCCCATTTTCAAGTTCTTGTTGCCACATGCTTGTCTGCTTATCGGGGTTTCCACTCCTGTACCATTATTTTTAGGTAAATCTTTCATAATGACACTTGACACATACAACTTTCTGTAAGTGGTCCTTTGTTAGTGAATATAGCTTCTATTCAAGAGTAGGTCAAATGTTGTCACATTTATTTCCCTAGCTGTATGCCAGTCTAGTTGATCTTTTCCTTTGGAATTGGTACCCGCAGAAATTGGTTTCTTCTTCTTAACTTCTTATGATATGAACTGGAAATAATTCCTGACTTGAGAGGGGGGCAAATGTAAAAAAACACAGAGTCAATTATATTGGACCAAGTACATTAAGTGTCCAATCGAAATCTTTGTTTTAATGTTGTGTACCTAATAAAAGTAAAATATATTGAGTGGATGTGTATAAGGTAAAAGTGTCTTAATTTCATGCATCAGTTTGAAATCTTAAGTTCTCCTTGGATTTTAGAGCAAAAAATAATGCATATCTAAGTTATTTGATAAGGCATTGTTGCAAATATTACTTATGTGATTGAAATATTATTGCCAATTATAATACTACTGTAAGCAGTATGAAAGAAAAGTATATTTATAAGTATAAAAACATGCTTATTTTAGGTTTTGCACAACCTAAGTTGCTTAACATAGACAAAGAAGCATCAATATTTTTACCAGAAATATTCAAACAAATTTCAAAAATTTAATAACTTGAGGGTTCATCAGAATGGAATAGGATACATCATACCATAGATGTTATAATGTATATAATGTGTAATAGCGTATTGTTAAGCAGTGTAACAAAAACAAAATCACCATGACCAGACATGTTTTTTTCCCTCAAGGTTCTAAAGATGGTCAAAGATTAGATATGCTGTGAGATGGTGAATTCTGCTTTTATTTTGCTATAGTTTCATTTACAGATTCATTTACTATTCTTCATATCTTTCAGTTCAACTATGAATTTTTAGTTGTATTAAAGTGCAAAGTCACCTTCCAGCTAGATCATATTAAATTTGAGTATGTTTGTATTGTGGAACTGATACAAGTTTCCCTAGCAGTGATGTTCAGATATTAATGTTGTAAAAGATTATGTAAACTAGATAGTCACATGAGATGTAACATCATGGTCTAACCACCAAATAAAAACCCCCACATTGATCTTCATAAATTTTCATAAC